GAATGTGAAGTGATGCAGCCACGAGGAAGCGTATTTGGAAGCGTATTTGTTACGGGTCCGCGGAGTGGTGTCTGGGCTTTGGCTGAGCGGAAGGGGCACGGTGGGCGCCGCGGCGGGAATGTGGGTGGATGTGCGCCGTCCTGCCCTGACCCACCCCCGCCTGGGCCTGTCCTGGCACAGCTGTGCGGGTCACAGTGCCAGCCAGGAGCCGGCTGTGAGTCCTTGAGTTTCCACTTTGTGCCAAGAGCTTGTCCAGACTCAGCCCTTGACTTTGTCCGCGTCCCAACAGCGAGGAGCAGGAGGGCCCATCCCGTCCAAGGAGACAGTGCCCTGGAGGGACCCGGGAGAGGGGGCGAGGCGGACGGCCTTTAGATGTCCAGTGGTCCCAGCGTCCAGGGTAGAAACCATAGAGGCTTTCCTTTCCTCGCGCGCGCGCGCGCGTGTGCGTGTGTGTGTGTGGTGTGATGTATGTGTGTATATATATGCTGTGTGTGTCCTGCTGTCCCTTCCCGCACTGCACCCACCCCACCTCCCAGCTGCTGTGCAGGCTCCGGCTCTCGGCTGGTCTGACCGTTCCCCTCAGTTCACGGTGCCCACTTGGTCCTGAAGCTCCCAGGCTCTGCACCCATGCTGCGTGTGGGCCCAGCGCCCCTCACCCTGTGTCCCTTCATGACAGCGTGAGGAAGGGCCTGTCACCGTCATTCAGAGGCGGGAACGGCCGAGAGCAGAGGCCGCCTCGGTGGGGGCCAGCGGCTTCTGGGCTGGGGAGTAGACACAGGTGGCCACCTGCTTTCCCTGCCTGTTGCCCCTCCAGCGGGTGACGGGAGGGGCTGCAGGCCTGGGCTGAGGATGTGAGTGCGTGTGCGTGTGCGTGTGTGTGTGCACACGGGCTGGGCGAGGACGGACTCCTGTCCAGGAGCAGTGGGCTGTGTGAAAAGCTTGCCTTGTGAGACCGCCTCGGGCTCCTGCAGGGCTGTGAGTAAGCTGGCTGCCGGTGGCCTTTGCTTTGTCTCAGCTCCCATAGCCTTAGGCTCTGGCTTCCTCTTTGGTGACGCTGCTGTGTGTCTTGGCCAGTCCCCACCTGCAGAGCCTGTGTCGGAATGCCCTGGGGGACAGGCCGTTTCTCATTTCTCGGGACAGCCTGCTCTGGTCTGGGAGGACAGTCAGGGTCGCCAGGCAAGTCTTGCTGGTTAGGGAGGACTGGTTAGGGAGGTTAGGGGCCAACCCACTGCTTATTCCCTGGGCTCACCTCGGAGGAGCTGGAGGAAGTCGGGGCGTAGCAGTGGCGCCTGCTCTGGACTGTGGTCCTGGACACTGGCCCCGGCCAGCCTGGGTCACAGCCACGACCCGCCCCTCCCCCCGGTCCCCTCCCCCTCCCGATCATGTGTGTCCATGTGCATAGGTGTGTGCAAGCAGGATTGGTCAGATGTGACTTCCCAGACTCGCTCACAAGCATTCCCTGTGTCCGTTCACAGCGGCTTCATCCCATCGCCCAGCCTGTGCCCTGAGAGCTGGCTGGGGGTGGGTGTGATGCCATTTTGGGGGGAAAGATCTCACAGCTTGTGCACCAAGGTTCAGAGTGACATCTGTAGGGGGAGGCTGGTTTTTTTTGGTTTGCTTGTTTTTAAATTTTTTCAATTGATTTTAGATCGAGAGGAAGGGAGAGGAAGAGAGAGAGAGAAAGAGAGAGGGAGGGAGGGAGGGAGGGAGAGAGAGAGAGAGAGAGAGAGAGAGAGAGAGAGAGAAACATCCATGTGAGAGGGAAACAGCGTTCAGTTGCCTCCTGAATGTGCCCTGACCGGAAATCAGCCCTGTGACCCTTTGTGCACGGGAAGACGCCCCAACCAACCGAGCCACCTGGCCAGGGCAGGGGGGCTGTTTTGACGGACAGACTGACCTCTCAGCTCACTGCTGCGTTTGGGGAAACAGGCTGGGGCGGCTCATGCTCTGGCAGAGCCATGGCTCAGTCCTTCGTCGGGCAGACCCTCTTCATTTTGGACAAATGAGTCTGTTAAAAAAGGTGTTTGAATGTCCCTGCATCACCCTGCCTAGTCTGGGCTGCTCCCCAGGGTTAACCCATCGTTCCCTGCACCATGGTTTCCTCGTTTCTCACTAAGTCGTCCGTTTGCAAACCTCTGTGCATGACCGAGTGGGAAAGGCTGACAGCAGAGGGTCGCTGACGGCACACAGGTGCAGGGACGGGAGGCAGGTGGGCAGTGTGCCCCTCCACCAGGAAGCCCACCACCTTGTGGGCACCCCAGGACAGCCCTGCTCTTCAGCTGTTCACACTGCAGTTTATTAGGTCAAATGCTGCTTGAACCAAGAAGCCGTGCAGCCGTGGCTCAGAGCCTCGAGCCCTCGCCCAATTTGACTGCAGCAGGCGTAGACGTGGGACTCGTCTTCCCGAAGCCGCTGCTCACCTGCTCTTGGTCACGGCTCAGGTCCCAGCGTGTGGCCCATCCAGAGGCCTGGAGACGGGGTCGGCTCCAGGGGTCGGCTCTGGCGCCATTTCCCACTGCTCCCCCTTCTCTTACAGTGTTAAGAGACATCAGCGAGAGGGGGAGGGACCTGGAGCAGATCTTGTCCCAGTACATCACCTTCGTCAAGCCCGCCTTCGAGGAGTTCTGCTTGCCGGTGAGTGCGGTCCCGGTTTGTTTTGTTGAGTCTGGACTGTAACGTGTAGTCAGACACACGGGGTGTGGGCTGAGGCAGCGCCCTGCTCGCAGCTCACTGGGAGCGTCACCCTCTGCGGAGGCCCCGGGAAGGGCGGCCTCTGGTGCTTTGCAGCCCGACCCCGGTCCTCAGTCTGTCTCACCGTCGGGGCCTTGGGATGGTGCTGCTCAGTCCCGGGAGGCCTGTGTCTCGTAGCCAGGTTCCTGGTGTGAGCACTTCCTTGAAGGCACGTCACAGCTCCGGGCAGCCTCTGCCGTGGGCACCCGGCACCCGGGAAGGTCCCTGGTGGGTGGAGTGTGCGGGGGAGGAGGGGCTCCGCTGCAGGGTCTCCCCTCTGACCTGCCTCCGTCACTCAGCCCAGCCTGTGCGAGCTCCTCTCGGCCCGATGCGTCCCCCGTCCCCGTCGGGAGGGAGCTGTGCCGGGGGGTGTCCCCGCCCTGGCACAGCCCCGGCAGCCTGGCAGTGAGGAGGCTTTCTGAGCAGGAAGGTCAGGGCAGGGGGCGTCCTCGGCTTCTTGGGGAGACTGTGAATGCCACCGGGACCGGGCGCCCTGCGTGAGGAAGGGGACTCCGCGTGTCTCCTCCAGGCTGACCGAGCCCTGGGCTAGTTCCCTAAGGGTATATGATTCAGCTCTGAGTGGGGAGTGGGTGGGGCTCGGCCTGGTCTGGGTGGTCCCCGTGGGTCTGGGGGCTGGGAGGGTGTTGAGAAGAGGCACAGAGTGAGGGCCAGGTCTTCGCTCCCTTCCTGGAGAGTCAGCTTCCCGGCTGCCTTCGTTCCTCCCCGTCTGTTAGGAGCAGGTCTTGCGTCAGACGGACTTGACTTTGTTTCCGATCAGGTTAGGCAGGCTCTGAGTCAGCAGGAGTAACCTTGAGGATTGGGTTTCAGGGTTAGGTTTCTGGGAAGAGGGCAGAGCGGCCGAGCAGCCGTGAAATTCTATCCGTCTGTCCATCCATCCCTCTGACTGAGGACTCCTGCTCTTGTTCACGTAATGAGAGAGCAAACTAAATTTATTATTGGACATGAATTAGAGCTAACTGCCAATTTTCTGCCAACCGACTTAGTTGTGAGCTCAGAATTCGGCACAAACATTTTCTGGGTGGTTGCTGCTGGTTCCCACGGTCCAGCCACTGGTGCCCAGAGAGAGCCCGGGTCAGGCCAGGTTGTATTTTCACCGTTCTAGTCTGGAGAGGCTCATGTTTATGTGGTCTCACCCTAAACCTCGGTTATACACCCAGACACAGTTCTTTGGAAAATGGACCACAAAATCTCAGTAAGTGAAATAAAAAAAGGATTTTGTGCTAATTGTACCCTTTTAACAACAAGTGTAGCCCAGCCAGCGTGGCTCAGTGGTTGAGTGTTGACCTATGAACCAGGAGGTCACGGTTTGATTCCCGGTTGGGGCACATGCCCAGGTTGTGGGCTCCGTCCCCAGTGTGGGGCGTGCAGGAGGCAGCCGATCAATAACTCATTATTAATGTTTTTGACTCTCCCTTCCTCTCTGAAATCAATAAAAACATTTTTAAAAGAAGTGACGTGACAGGGCCCGGGCCCTGTCTTCAGAGGCCTTTTCTGGGTTCACCTCGCTCTGCCGGCTGCAGAGGCTCCAGGTGGACTGCTCCCCTGAAGTTGGGGTTTCACTAATTCACACTTTTCTTGGGGGTGAAGAAGCAATTACAGATTTGGTTTCAAAGACCACGTTCCTCCTGCAGGTTGTAAACTGAAACCATGTGGAACGTTCAAATGTGAACTTGTAAAGCTGATTGATTAATAGATTGATTTTAGAGAGAGAGGAAGGGGGGGAGAGATAGAATGATTTGTTGTTCCACTGATTTATGCATTCATTGGTTGGTTCTTGTATGTGCCCTGATCAGAGATTGAATACGCAACTAACTGAGCTAGCTACCCGGCCGGGCTGATTTATTATAATTTAGATAAAGCGGGTAAAAAACATGTCCGAAGCCTGACGCCGCTGCCCTCTGGGTTAGGTGGAGAGACGGCCACCCCTTCCCCACGGTCCCCCAGGGCGGCTTGGGCCGGTTTCTCTCTGAACCCCTCTTAGTTCTAAATACCTTTTTCTGCAGACAAAGAAATACGCGGACGTGATCATTCCGAGAGGTGTAGACAATCTTGGTGAGTCCTCGGGGTGTCGTGCTTTGGGGCGGGGTGGCGGACCCCGGAAAGGAATGCCCACCTGCCCGGCGGCTGTGGGCACCGGCCCTGTGTTATGCACGTGTGACTGTGGGCACACACGTGGACTGCTATTCCCTGGCCGAAATCAGAGGTGTGGAGAAACCCTGTCTTCTCATTCTCTTATAATTGATTTTCTCCATTTAAAACATTTAGTTTGTTTGCTGAGACTTTCGCTGTCTACCTCCTGTCGTCCTCAGCCTGTCTTTTTCACGACAGTGACCTTTGTAGAACGCCTGCCACCTGGGTTTGTCCGGGTCCCCAGGGCGGGGCTGAGTTGGCACGACCAGGACAGTGCCCGGAAGACGTGTTCTTTGCGTGTCACCCCAGAAAGCACTTGGTGCTTCTGTTTTTGAAGTTAGTTAATCATTTGCATAATTGTTTCTAAGGGTAAGAAGAGAGAGTCCTATGTTGGATCGTCGTTGGAGGAGAGGGTCTTCCGTGGGTCACTGGGTTTGGGACGGGTCACAGCCGGTGGTGCCGTGGAGAAGGCCAGTCCTCACGCCTGCAGACGGGGTCGGGCTGATTGCCTTGCTGCTGCCGGGACTGACCACCTCAGAAGCCCGTGTATTCAGGGCTTCCCGTGTCTGGGCACGGCCTGTCTTCCTCTGGGACCCTCCAGGGGGTCACGTCAGCCCCTTGGGGGGCTTGGGGAGGCGGTTCCCTCCACCCCGGGTGCGTCCCTAACAGCTGCCCGTCTCTGCCCCCCAGTGGCCATCAACCTCATCGTGCAGCACATCCAGGACATTCTCAACGGAGGGCCGTCCAAGCGGCAGACCAACGGCTATCTCAACGGCTGCACGCCCGCACGCAAGAGGCAGGCCTCCGAGTCCAGCAGCCGGCCGCACTGACCCGCCCCGGGCCCTGCCCCGCTCCCGGGCACGGCGGCGGCAGGGGCTCGGCCGTCTGTACAGACGCTTTCCTATGACTCTGCTTATTTAAGAAAACAACACGGGAAAGAAATGCCTTTGATCTTGAAATGGAACTTGACCCCGAGCTTACACGACGAACTGTGCCAACTACCACTGGTGATGCCTAATCATGCCCACCTGTACCAGTTACCAATACACACGCATATATAAAAGGATCTATTTTTGTGTAAATGTACAAAATCCTGTAAAGCTGGTTGCTGCTGAGTGTTTTGCAGGAGGGCCCGCGCTGAGCTTCCCCGGGGCAGGTGGCCCCTGGCATCCAGGCGGGCGGGCTGGCCTGTGAGGTGGGAGCACGGGGCTCGTGGCCCACGCTGAGCGCCTGCCGAGTGCACTGCTTGGAGCTGCAGCTTACTGACATGTCGATGAGAGAGACTTTTTTTTCTTTTGAGTTGTAATTAGGCAAGACCTCACCCGAAAAATCAAACTCAGGGAAGGGGCCCTTTCCAACGGCCCACCCTCCGCCCACCCCTGGCTGCTCAGATGGCGGCATGATGCCTCCCTCACTCCCCCGTGACTCGGTCTCCAGAGCCAGAGCTGCCTGTCCCTCGTCCCTGGTGGGGATCTGACTCCCCAGGCTTTTCCCAGACTGAGGGGCGCACAGCGGTCCCTTGCAATCCGGGTGCTGAAGAGACTTCTGCTGGCAGAAGGGCAGCTGGCAGCCCCTCGCAGGGTGGCGACAGAGCTCTGCCCGCGCAGGGCACAGTGGCTTTGTCCCCGAGATGCGGGGATTTGCAGTGAGATGGGGTGGCACACACCTTAGGCAGCGTCATCGCTGGCGGCATCGCAGATGGGCTGCCTTTCGGGTGTGGCAGCGCTGGGCGTGGGGGGAGGCGGGAAATGGCATTTAGGTCCTAAGCTGGAGTCTCGGGATGAAAGGCTTGGGGTGGAGAATTCCGTCTTCCCCGGGGGCTTCCTCTTGGCGAATATGAGTAGCTTTGGAAGAAGCAGGTTCTTGGACTCTGGCAGGAGGGGGTGCAAGAAGTGGGGGGAACAGTTGAGGTCTGATTAGAGTCCACGCCCCAGCCTGTAACTGCCCGAGACAGCCTCCCTTTCTCAGTTGCCACACCCTCAGCTTGTCTTCCACAGCTGCCCTGCCTGCGTGTTCCGGTGGGCCCTGCCCTTCCCTTCCCGATGCTGCCGAGCCCATCGGAGCCATTCAGGTGCATCTGCCACGTGCCCCGTGAGCACCATCCATGTTGACCCCCCTTTTCTGGACCTGATTTGACTCTAATTCTGTTTTGCTGTTTCAAACCTAAACCCCAACAGAGCTTTGCTGCCCCTGAGACAGTGGGGAAACGGGTCACAGGCCTGAGGGTGCTCCTGACCCCGCAGCCGCCTGGTGGGGTACGGGCTCCGAGGGCTCCGGACGGAGGTGCTGGGTTTCAGAATCAGTGTTCATTACCTTTCCCATCCTGCCTTGCACGGCTCTGAGGTGAAGGGTAGAGGGCAGGCCTGTGCCGGAGCCGTGGCCTCTCCGTCAGCGGGTAGCACCCTCAACTTTACTTGAAGCTCCCAGGTGCCAAACCATTTAGTGCCTTGGCTGTGGGTCCCCCTGCCTTGGAAGGTGGGCTTTCCCATCTCAGCCTTGACTCCGTAGCCGCCTCGTCCACCCATGGTGTGGGGGCTAAGCCGCTGTGGGCTGCCCGGCCTCCTGGTAAAACCATCTCCAGTTCTCAGTGGCTCTGCTGGGGGCGCCGGGCCACACTCGCTGGCGGTGCTGACCATGGCCCGGTTCTGAGAACCCTGTGTCCTGGGCCAGGAAAGGGGAAGCCCTGCCGAGCCCAGCATTTAGCCAACTGAGGCTGAACTTGAGCTTCTGTAGGACAGATCCTGGGCTGGCATTCGAGAGCCGCTGGGTCTCTGATCGCACTGGAGAGTCATTAGGCCACGACCGCGTCATCTGGTATCTGCCCTCCGGGACTGGCAGCCGCGAGCAGTGGGTGATGCTGGTCGTGCCCACGGGCATCTTGGCTTCAGAGCCCCATGGTGCTGGCTTCTCCCTCTGCACGTCCTCCCACGCATTGTCCGCAGACCAGGCGAGTGAGAAACGGGCATGAAGCCTCAGCCGCCCCGGGGAAGGCCTGGCCCCGCACTCCCTCAGGCTCACGGAGCTCCTGCTGCGGCCTCCTTTGTGGGCAGCCCGGCCAGTGGGAGCAGAGGTGGGGGCGGTGTGAGGAAGTGCAGGTGCTGACCTCGGGTGTCCTGTGGGGAGTGGGTGGCGTGGCCCTGGGAGACCACAGGAGCTCGGAGGCCGAGGGCGGTGACGGGAGGGTCTCCAGCGGCCCCGTTAGAACAGCGGCCCTGCAGTGCCACTCTGCTCCGCTCCCGGCTGCATGGCCACTGGCTTCCTGTCCCCTGGGCTCAGTTGGACACTTGTCTGGGTGCCAGTGGGTCACCAGTCTCAGGCCACTGGGTCAGGCTGCAGGCAGGTGGGGAGTGGGAGGAGCTGGAGCCCAGCCGGTGGAGGGTCACCTGAGTGCTGGGTTTGGCGGGGGGCGGGGGAGGGCAGGCTCTGCCCTTCACCCCGTTCTCTGGGTGGTGGGACAAGGGAGGGCGTTGCTGGGCTGAGTGGAGCTCAGAGCCCCCTTTGATCTCTGGCCCTGCCTCCCTCGCAGCTGGGCAGGTGGGCAGGTGGCGGAGCCCAGCTGGGGAGGGACTTGGGCCTTTTTCTTTGAGACGCTTACTCCCCCCTCTGCCTCCTAACTGGGTCTCAATTGTTCACAGTTACAGGTATGGCCACACGCAATGTACTTTGTTGTAAATAAAGACTGAACAGAAAGCCACCTGTGTCTTCCTGTGGTGCTTGGGAGGCGGGGGCGATGGGAGGGTGAGGGGCCACGGGAGGTG